CCTCCTCTCCTGAAACCAGAGGCAGGAAGGAAATATCCATAGGGACAGTGTGAACCTGGGAAAGGTTGGAGGAACCCCCCCCCAAATAAGAGAAGGTCTGACAAGAATCAAGGAGGGCTCGGGGCCCTGCTCTCCAGCCCGCAGCTGACTGTCCTTTTAAGTCCAAATGCTATGTTCCATGAATAAAATAAATTGGAAAATATTTTTATACTTAGAAAAATGGATTATAGCTCTTGGCAAACTTATACACACTGCCTAGCGTTTTCGGAGTCTCTGTGGAAAACCACAATTTTAACCAAGACGGAACCCCTGGCACTGGGTCACCTGGTCCCCTGGGGCACCGCTGGGTGAAGACAGTTGTCCACCCTGCAGGGGAGCTTAGGAGCCCCCAGCAGCAGCACTGTTTTTAGGGTGAGGTGGGAATCCTACCTAGAGGGGCTGATGTTAGCTGTGACCCCCTTGTGTCCCCGCCTAGGTAAAAGCAGAATTGTTCCATTTCTCTGAGGCCTGCTTAGCTTGGGGAAAAGTTTACAGAACACAGCCCTGGGGCTCCCAGAGGCTGAAGGCTTGTGGGGAGTAATCACAGTAATTACTGTAATATAGGCCCCCTCACTCAGCTGGATGACTGGCCAGCTGCTCACTCTAATCCCTTACTGGGCATCTTTGATTCCTTTAAATGTGGCCTTCCCTGATGGCCCCTGTGTGTTTACCCTGCATCTCCCACATCACAGCAGAGTTTCTTCTATGCCTGGCCCTGTGGATGCTCCCTGCCACCCACCCTTGTCCTCACTGGAAAGTCTGACAGCTTGATGAAGGTGCCAAGGACTCTTGCACAGTATGGTGGGCGGTGAGGCTGGGCGCACCCACTCATGGGTCAGGTCTTTGCTCCACCTGTGGCCTGGATGTCCCAAACTCAAGGCTTTAGCCAGGAAGTGGCACCCACCTCCGGTGCCCAGACATCCTGGCTTGACCAGCCAGTAAGGGCCTTTCAACCACCTTTGAACCTAAACCTCCGGGTTGGGGAGGAAAGCGGGGGGGGGGGGGGGTGGATCTGTCGAGACAATATATTTGGGGAACTACAGTTTTGCAAAGGTAACCTCACTTTTTCCTCCACAAAATTGCCTTCACATGTCCCCGGGCTGGTGGGAGGCCAGCTAGAGCTCTATTGGTCATCACAAGGCAGCAGGGATAGGAATCAGACCAGAGGCTGGGAATTTCCCTGAGCCAGACTCGAGCCTTCCCCTTTCATCTTGCTGGAGCCTGGAAGGTGGCTGTCCTTGGGGGAGGACTGAGCGGGTCTTGCCTGGATGAGCTGTGGCTTTGAGGACCCTCAGTCCTGCCTGAAAAAAATCCAAGGAAAGTGGGGTTCAACCAATCCTCACCCACCTCATGTTCTATGTTCAAAGGGGTCACAGATACAAGCTATGGGATCAGCAGTGACTGGAGTTTGCAATGACTGGAGGGCGGCTATGGTGTCTGACGGCTTCAGGAAGGAGGTGGAATGGCTCAGGCCGATGCTGAGCACTCTATGACCATTCAAGGCCAGCAGTTCTCTTGTCCCTTACATCTGGAGTCTTCTACAGCATGGCCCAGGTGCCTCCAGGGAAACAGATCAGAGAGCTAGGGACATCAGATGGCCATATGTCTCTAAAACACACGTGGGGCTGATCTGGGGAGGGTGGCTTCTGCACTGGAATCCAAAACACGTATAGGGTGAGGATGGAGGCCCCTCAGGGTGGAGAAGCTGCTGGGGTCAGAGGCTGCTGTGGGGCCTGGCCAGCAGATGAGGAAAGTGCTGATAGGAATAAAGAGGGCTCCAGGAGCTGCCCCGACACCAGCACCAGGTTCCACGGGAGAATCCTTAAGCATCACTCCTACCTCCGTGGGCTCCAAGTTAACTTCTGTGTGATGAAGCCCACCTCAGCTGAGGACAGATGGAGCCCAGCTGCCTTCCTAAATCTGCACATGGCCTGTAGACACATCACAAGGTTCTGGCCCACACAGCCTGTCTGAAGACGGCATAGGATTCTGACCAATACACAGCCTGTCTGCAGACATCACAGGGTTCTGATGGCTTCAGGAAGGAGATAGAATGGCACAGGTACACAGTATGTGTGTCACCACTCCCTGGAGTTGCCTCAACCTCTCCTCCACTGGAGGTGAAGGTGTCTTTGGGATGGGGTTGGAAGATTCTAGGTGACTTCATTGAAGGCAGAAGACAGTGTACTTGGGCTGAGAATGTGGCTCAGTTAGTAAAGTGCTTGCCTAGCACACATGAAGCCCTGGGTTCCATCCCCAGCACTGCATGAACCAGGCCTGGTGACACAGGCCTGTCATCCCAGCGCTTGGGAGGTGGAGGCAGAAGGATCAGGAATTCAAAGTCATCCTCCAATATGTACGGAGTTTGAAGCCAGGTTAGGGTACTTGAGACTCAGAGAGGAAAGAAAGGGGAGAAGGAGGAGGGAGAGCAGGCCGGTTCTGATAGTCCGGGAGCCAGTAGTGGATAATAACGAGGCCAGGACTTGCAAGAGAAACTATGGGTGTAAACTAGGAAAAAGATTTGGTAGAGCACGTGCCTGGTGTGCATGAAGTCCTGTGTTCCATTCCTAGCATGGTAGACACTGTTGTGGCACTCGCCTGTCCCCCAGTCCTTAGGAGGTGGAGGCAGAAGAATTGGGAGCTCAGAGTCAGCTATCTAGTGAGTTTAAGGCTAGCCTGGGTTACATGAGAACCTGTATCAAGATAAAATAATAGGAGTATGGCCAGGCGTGGTGGTGCACGCCTTTAGTCCCAGCACTCGGGAGGCAGAGGCAGGCGGATCTCTGTGAGTTCAAGGCCAGCCTGGTCTACATAGTGAGTTCCAGGACAGCTGAGGCTACAGGGAGACACTGTCTCAAAAAGACCCAAAAAAAAATAGAGTAAGTCACCCACACCTCATAGCCATCAACACCCAACAGGTGCCACTTCCTACAGAGGGACAAAGAGACAGGGATCTCAACTCCTGACTGAGTTTCCTTGTTTGGGGAGACAGGACCTCCCTCTCCTGAGGACCCAGACCAGAGCCTGTGCTGTCATATGCAGCTCAGGACAAAGTGACAGGTCAACTTGGCGTGTGCCCCCCGCTGGACGCCAGGATGAGTCACTTCCTGTGCAGTGGCTCCGGAAGCAGGTAGGCCATCGTGGTTCCCAGAAAGGCAGTGTGGGAAATCAGAAAATGCTTTTCCCAGAAATAGGCCGGCTGGACCAAGGCTCGGGAGCAGAGGCCAGGCCTGAAATAGCTCGCCTGCCCCGGGGCATTGGACAGGGTGTGGCTTGGGCACCTCAAAGGCTACAGAGGGCAGGGCAGGTCCCCTTGGGCAGGTGGGGCACAATCTACAGGGAACTGCAAGGTGTGGCTGAGCTGTGCCTCAGCCCAGTGGTAACCCTGAGGCTAGCCTAGGATTGACCAGGAACTTCAAGGACCCTGAATTATCCAACTGAGACTCTGTCCCTGTCCTCTGGTCAGTCTACAGACAGACCTTTGAGAGAAAGCCACAGGAAACAGCCTCAAAGAAATGAACTGGCAGGGAAGGGAGCATGGGGAAATCAGCAGGTGTGGGCACAACCTGCTGATGCCTATCCTGAAGATTTGACATAGAACAAGGCACTAAACAAAGAAGCAGGCATCAGAAGGAGCAAGGGTTTCAGCCCAGGCCTGTAGCAGCACAGCACCAGGTAAGCTCTTGGAGCCTGGAGAAGACCAAGACCCTTGAGTGCTGCCCTGTGATCATGTCATAGGCCCCAACCTGATTCACAGACAGATACATAACCAGGCATGGTGACTCAAGAGGCCGTCACAGGAGGATTACCCCAAGTCCCAGGCCAGCCTGGGACACAGTGAGACCCTGGCTAAAAACCAAAGTCAGAGAGACAAACCCATAGTGGGTTTAGAAAGGAAACCGGACCTCAGCTCAGGGAGGCTGCCTTTGGGAGCAGAAGCCAGGTGAGAAGGAGCCACTAGGGGGCTTAGACAAGGGTGGCTGAGGAGGTAGAAGGAGGCGGGGTTCTGGTGGAGGACCCTGCCGACATAAGGTGGGGGTCTCTGGAGCAGAGTCTTCTGTCATAACTATGGTATGTAAACATATGAGTCCCTTGCCCTGGGAAGCTGAAAATAAAAGAATGAAGGAGGTTTGAGAGTTACTCGGTGCAGCTGGTATCTCAGGATGATGTGTGCTGGCACACAAAGTGACAGTCACTCCACGTGACGTTAGTCCCTTTAGGGTCTACAGACATGCAAGTTCCTGCCTGTGTGAAAATCATGGGCATCCAGCATAAGTCTGGGGATATTTGCTGGCTATAGAATTGGCAGGACCAAGCCAGATAGAACACCATGGGCTGGTCTCCACCCCAACCCTCTCTAGAGGCAACAAAGAATCCCACTGGCTGTGCACCTGCCTGGCACAGCTCTCCTTCCAAAGTGTACTTTTGTATTCTATTATCTTTTAGATGAAATTCACTACTGTTCTTGAATAAAAAATAGAAATAAGGCTGGGGGCTCTCAGTGGTAGAGCACCTGTCTAGGATTCCCCAGTGAGAGGCTGAGGTATGGCTCAAGGTAGAGCACCCTGCCTAGAATCCCCCAGTGAGGGGCTGGGGGCATGGCTCAGTGATAGAGCTCCTGCCTAGAATCCCCCAGTGAGGGGCTTGGGTGTGGTTCAATGGTAGAGCACCTACCTAGGACTCCCAGTGAGGGGCTGGGGTGTGGCTCAGTGTTAGAGCTCCTGCCTAGAATCCCCTAGAGAGGAGCCCAGTCATGACTGGTAGAGTGCTTGCTTAGAGTGCTGGGAGTCCTGATTTCCATCACTATTACCTCAAATAAATGTAAACAATAAATAGAATATATTCAGTAAAAAAATGTTGTCAGTCTTGGACTTGTTAAAACCTGGTGCTAAATTGTACCGCGTCATCAAACCAAGCATGGAAAGAGAAGGTATTTTCCAAAAACAGGAATAGATACTCACATCTACTTCTCCTTGGTCAATCACATAGAAATTATCTCCTTCATTCCCTATAACAACAACAAAAAGACAAGAAATGAGAAAGTGCAAAACCCAGCAAGGCAGATATGCGCTATAGAATTCTTGTTTATCTGGCAAACAGGATTTGGAACTAGGTCTACAAGCCATTATCAAGTAATACCTGCCCCCTTCAGCCCCCATCTCTCTGTGTCTCTGTCTCTGTCTGTCTCTCTCACACTGGAATTGAACCCAGAGCCTCATGTATGCTAGCCATGTGCTGTGCTCCTGAATTACATTCCCCAGCTCTCTATTTTGTGTTTTTGAAACAGGGTCTCATTAAGTTGCACCTGCTGGTCCTGAACTCACAAACCTGCCTCAGCCTCCTGAGTAGCATAGGTCTGCCACTTGGTCTGGCTATGTTTTGTTAGTTTCTTGAGTCTCTCTCTCTCTCTCTCTCTCTCTCTCTCTCTCTCTCTCTCTCTCTCTCTCTCTCTTCTTTTTCTCTTTTTTGACAGGGTCCCACAGTGTAGGCCACCCTGGCTGGCCTAGAACTCACTATGTAGATCAAGCTGGCCTCAAACTCAAAGAGATCCACCCATTTCTGCACCCAGAATGTTATGTCTGTCTTTTTCTTTTCCTTTTTTTGTGTTGTTTTTGTTTTTGTTTCTGTTTCTGTTTTTGTTTTTGCAACAGGGTCTCCCTGTAGCCCCAGTTGGCTTTCAATTCACTATGTAGACCAGGATGGCCTCGAATTTCCAGAGATCCGCCTGCCTCTGCCTCCTGAGTGCTTCCTTCCTTCTTACCTTCCTTCCCTCCTTTTTTTCTTTTTCTTTTCTTTTAGATAGGGTCTCACACTGTATCCCAGGCTGACTTTGAACTCCTGACAATCTTCCTGCCTCAGCCACCTGAGTACTAGGATGCCAGGCTTGCCCAGCACACCTGCCACAGTTTAAGTTTATCAGAACAGACATGAGCTCTTGGGCAAATGCATTCCCAGCAATGGAGAGACCATGTCTGTGAGGTGGGGAACTTACCTTGCTGTATGACCGTCTCCCCAGCTATATGAGTCACGGGAAACATGGCGTCGAATATGTCACTGAAAAACAAAGCACAGCACATCAGCAGCTGTAATGGTAGTGGCTGTGGTGAGCCCTGATTTCTGCCACACTTAAACCTTCCCTGTCCACGTGCCAACTCAAAGTCTGGCAGAACTGATGACCTTAAGACCTTTCCCAGCCCTGTTGTCCACAGCCACGTGGGTACCACACACGCAGCCTTCAGGCCCACCTCTCCAAACTTCTTCACTGGTGTGGGCTGCTTTGCCCTCTTGAGACAGGGTTTCAAGTAGCCCTGGCTAACCTCAAACTCACTATGTAGCCAAGGATGACCCTGATCTCCTGATCTTCCTGCTTTTACCTCCAAAGTACTAGGATTACAGGCACACACCACCACACCTAGCTTATGGTGCTGAGGATGAATTGCAGGGCTCTGTACATGCTAGGCAAGTGCTTGTCAGCCCCTGTCTGGCTTCTCACAAGAAAGGGATCACTCAGCACTGTTTTACACTCCACTTAGGAAAACAGGTTACAATGGGCCATGAATGTTTCTCGTGCCTGTAAACTGAATGTTGTTGGGACCTAACCACTGAGCCTGATGTGTGGGCTTTGCTTTTCTAAAGACAAAATTTTAAAGATTTCATTCCATTTTTTAATTATGGGGTGGGGGGTGTACATGAATGCTGGTGCCCGCAGAGGCCAGAAGAGGACATTGGATCCTCTGGAGCTGGAGTTATAAGTAGGCCCTTGTGAGCCGCCTGATGTGGGTGCTAGGAACCGAACTCAGGTCCTCTGCAAAAGCAGCACACACTCAACCACTGAGCCTCTCTCCAACCCGTTTGTTCCCTCTTCCAACCACAGGAATGCCAAAGGTCCAGGCTGGGGGCGTAGTTCAGTTGGAAGAGCCCTTGCTTGACATGCACAAGGTTCTGGGTTCAATTCCCGAGCACGCCAATAAAAGAAAAGAGCAAAGAAGTGAGACGCCAGGCAGTGCCTCTGTGTGGGCAAGAGAGACCTGCTATGACACATGGACCCTGTGGGCCACCGAAGCTGGGGACCCTGGAGTGACCGCTGTGCCCACCCAGCAACCTGGTGGACTAGTCTTCCAAATGTAAGTGTGAAATGGGCCACTGAGACAAATGCAAAGGGGGGGGAGGGGGCAGGCTGCCCAGACCCTCCATCTCACCAGCACAGTCAGACAACACAGTCATAAATGTCCACCTGCTCTCCTGAAACACAGTAGCCACCAGGGGAGACCTGTCTGTCCTCAGCTCTTGGCTCCCCAAGAGCTGTGAAGCAGGGAAGGGGAAGGTAAGGAATGCAGCCCTAGGCAGGAAGTGCTTCATTCATTCGGGAAAATGCTGAGACGAAGCCCTTCCTACCCTGACTGTTCAAAAAGGAGTGGGCACAGGACCTGGAACTTGAGGCAAGCCTCAGAGGGACTCAGGGTCCTCACTGACTCTGTAATATACAAGCCGTCTGGGAACTGAATGCAAAATGAAAGATCCAGACTGCTCTATGCTTGATTCCAGGGTCTAGAAAATAAAAATAAATTTTCGGGGCTTCAGTGGTTAAGAGCACTGGCTACCCTTGGAGAAGGCCTGAGTTGAATCCCAGCACCATGGTGGCTAACAACTGTCTGTAACTCCAGTTCCAGAGGACCCGACACCCTCTTCTGTCCCCCGCGGACACTGCACAGCATGGGTGCACTTACATACATGCAGGTAAAACACTCATACACATAAAATAAAAATAAATAAATAAATTTTTTGTTAAAAATAAGAACTTTTAAAAATCTTTTTGAGACAGGGTCTCCCTATAGCCCAAGCTGTAGCCCCAGTTGGCCTGAAACTCACTATGTAGACCAGGCAGGACTCAATCTCACAGAGATCTGCCTGCCTCTGCCTCCAGAGTACTGGAATCAAAGGCGTGCCCCACCACACCCAGCTATAAATTTTTTTTTTTGGTCTTTTTGAGACAGGGTCTCTGTGTAGCCCCAGGTGGCCTGGAACTCACAATGTAGACCAGGCTGGTCTTGAACTCGCAGAGATCAACCTACCTCTGCCTCCCAAGTACTGGGACTGTGCCCCTCACCCAGCTAAATAAGTAATTCTTAAAATACTAGCTGTACAGCTGTGGTTACCTAAACAAGGCCTGTATGAGGTTGGACCCATCAATCTTCCAGGGAGCATAGAGGGACCAACAAGGCCACGCCCCTCCCTGTGTATCTAAGGGCTGTAAGGCTGCTAGAGGACTGGGATCTTGAGGCCACACCCCAGCTAATGAGGATTTATACTGAGAACAGTTGCTGAGGGAGGGACTCATGAAGCCCCACCCCTCCCTTAGGATCTATAAACAGTTAAAGGTGGCTGATGGAGAGACAACCATTTTCTTCAACAGTATAGGCACTAGAAAGCTGCCCATGCTCCTGTAAATAACCCCTCACACATGCTCCTGTAAGCAACACTAATTAAACTCGCTGGGTCTCACACACCCAAAAAAAGACATAAAAGTACAAGAGGGACAAATTAGGAAGAGAAAGGGGGTCAGCAGGAGTGGGAGGGGACAAAGAGAAGGTAAGAGAGTAAATATGATAAAAGACATTACACGTGTGCATAAAAATATCATATGAACCCATTATTGTGTATAGTTAGTATATCTAATTTTAAAAATCCCATTTTCTCTCTATTCAAGACACGCTTCTCTGGAGTGTGGCATCCTAACTCCACTAACATCTTGGTTTTTGGTTTCCTGTGCTCACTGGCAGAAGAAGGCTCTGCCTGTGGCTGAGAAGGTGGTGGTGAGTCTCGGGCCAGCTCTGGATGTCCATCCCCTGACAGGGTGTTTCTTGGCCACAGCATCCCTAGCATCTGCAGAAACCATCCCTGCCTGGCTAAATTTCTTCAAAACCCCAAAGAGAGAGAAACAACTTTGCAGTTTCCTCCCACACTGAAAAATAGCCCTCAACTAATAATGGTAAAATGTGTGTGTGCGGTGGTGTGTGTGTGTGTGTGTGTGTGTGTGTGTGTGTATGTTCATGTGTGCATATGTGTACGGTGCATGTGAAGGCCAGAGGAAGACATCAGGTCTTTTCTTAAATTGCTCTCCACCTTATTTGTGTGTACATGTGTGTAGTGTGGTGTGTGTACTATATGTACATGGGGGAACAGGCAGGTGCCTATGCACATGTGCAGAGGTCAGAGGAAGGCATGGAGTGTCCTGTTCTATCACTCTCTACTATATGCAGTCTCTCACTGAGCCTGGAGCTAGGCTAGTGGTCAGCAGCCCCAGTGATCCTCCTGTCCCTGCCCCCACAGCCCTTGTTACAGGTACATGGCCACACCCAGTTTTTCACGTAGGTGCTGGGGATTCGAACTCAGGTCCTCATGCTTATCCACAAAGCACTCTTATCCACTAAGCTACCTCCTCAGCCCATCTTCATCTTATTATTTTGAGACAGGGTCTCTCACTGAACCTGGAGATCACCAATTTGCTAGATTGGCTGGCCAGTGCACCCACAGATCCTCCTGTCTCTGTCCCCACAGCACTAAGATCGCAAGCACATGTAACTGCCTCCACCAGGCTTTTTCGTGGGTTCTGGGGATTAAACTCAGGTCCTCATGTTCATGCAGCAAGTACTTTAGCTGCTGAGCCATCTCCCCAGGCCAATAAACATTTTTTTAGTGCTGTAAGTGATCAAACAGACACTAATGTGTCTCCTGCCCACACACTCAGGCAGGTGTCTGCTTTGCCACACCAGCTTCGGTCGCTTCTCCTCTTAATAATACTAAGCTGGGGAGGTACAGTGGGGAGCCGGTGTCACTCTAACCTCCCTGGATTGTCACTCCCTGCTTGCACACCCAAGTCACAATTTGCATTTCCCTTCCCCCTCTCATTTAGGTGAAAGTGCACCCATCTAGTAACTTTCTTTTCTGGTCTCACTCTGTAGCCCAGGTTGGCCTGAATTCACTGCCATCCTCCCACCTCAGCCTCCCTAGTTCAGAATCACAGGTGCAAGCCACATTCCCCACTTCTGATAGCTTCCTTTAGCTATCTAGCGTCCTTTCATTCCTTGCCCCCGCCCAGGCCCCCGCCCAGGCCCCCGCCCCAGGATGTCCTGGATATTTCCATGTTTATACAACCACAGAGTGAGCAATGATGAACATTCCAGAGCTGCAGATGAGGGAGGGCAGATAAATATAGTCATATCTCCCAGTTATATGGGGCTTCTGTCTACCTGCTCTTCCATCCGGGCCTCAGCCAAGGCAGGAGCCACTGAAACCTTTTTCTGGGCCAATAAGATCCCCAAACTGAGAGGCTCTTGGTGTCAGTCACCTATGTCCCCACCCACCAGGAGCAACTTTCAATTGAACATCTCTGAATGACCTCATGTATCTCTGGGAGCACAGGCAAGCCCCCCTCCCATTGTCCGGGTTCATGGCCATGACAGAAGCACTCTGGGAGCCTGGAACCACTGAAAATAACAACAGAGCCATCAGGCCAGAGAGCCCAGCCTTACCTACCAAAGGGGCCTGGGAGTCCAGTTTCCTTCTGAGAAACCTGACACCCCTGGGCTCCTAACCCAAGAAATCCAAGTCTCCAGGCTGAAGACTCACAGCTCTGCCCACTTCCCCCTCCGCCTTCCAACCTCAGACAAACCTAATCCCTTTCCCTCTCAGCACTTAATGGCATTAAAAGGCAGGGCCTCCTCTGCCTGTGAAAAGAAAAATAGCTTTCCATCCCGATCTGGAAGTCACTTCTGGAAGGTTTAGTTGCAGTCAGCAGCAGAGAACACAAATGTTCTTACATTGTGGTGCTGACCAAACCACCCTCTCCATCAACAATGCTGGCTGCTCACTGGAGCAGTGGGGTCTTGGCTGGCTTCTGGGGTGCAGGGAGGCCAGAGAAATAAACACATCAGCTATTACCCCCACAGGCACCGAGGACCTGGCACTGCCCTGAGCCCCTCTGGTCCCATCCACACCTGTCCTCACAGGCTGGAATGCTACAACATCCATTTCCAGAGAAGGAACCTGGGGAC